CTTTCCTGATTTCCCCTTGCTGGGTAAGATACTCAGCCTCTGTGCTCTCACGTCATTACTCTTTCCACTTAGTATTAAAAGGAGAAATTTTAAAGCCTGTCTCCCTCTCCACACTCTGTGATTGTCGACCTTCTTGAAGGAGAACATTATGGAGCTAATCAACATAAACAATTTCCTCATTAGCCTGTTTTGGGGAGCCTCCCTGCCACTTCCAACATCCTATGTCCTGTTTCCAGACATATCACTGATATCAGCCACTATATACCATATCTTCAACCTTTTAGTACCCACCTGAGTTTCTAGGGCCCAAGCATACCAATGTGGGCTGATGGTCAAATCAACAAATTATCTAAGGATAATTTTTTACATTTCCCAGTGCATATGATACATAAGATACCAAGATAATTTTCATCTCTTCAACAAGTTCCTTAAAAAGTGGTAGAAATTGTGGCAGCATTTCAAGCTAAAGGCCTCTGCTCTACAGGCAGGCAATGGCTACCCATTTAAAGCTTTATTCCAGCTTTGCAGATTGAACCATCATTGTCCCATCCATCCTAATGATTCTGGAAGGTGTGACTCAAAAGTCAATGTGTCTGAGTTTTAAGCAAATATACAAAAGCTCTGAAGGCAAATAAATGTTGCCCTCTTGAAAGCATTCACCTTGGGGGGTTGTACACAATCTAAGAACGATGCTAATTATTTAATACGGCTATGGAATTTTCTCTGGGGATTGTCTTTAGAGCTTACAGCACATTTGGTAGATTATTACCAATGCAATAATATTCATCCTGTCAGGGTGATTTTTAAAAACAATCAAGCAGAGTAATGCTGCTTTGGGTCAAAACCAAGAAATAACTATGATGTGACAAGGCTGCATTTCAAGTGTGATGTGTGAACTTTTTCTGAAGGCAATAAAGAAAATGAGTTGCTTTTCAAGATGATCGTTTTGAGAAGCAACTTTCATTTGATGTACGTATTTCTAAGGTTTTTCTCATTTTTTATTGTCTCAACCAGTGTACTGCCAAGTATTCTCAGCTCCAAGAGAGTTTTACCTTTACCATCTATAGTAGACAGTACGAATGTGTATTCTCGTGCCAGAACAGCTGAAGCCCTGTTACTCATGACCAAGTCATGGGTGGAGGTTGGAATTAGAAACTCAGTAACTCTTGCATTTGTCAACTAAAGTATCCTAAGTGAAAACGCTAGCCATGTGTTTTTCTGCTTGTCATACTCACTTTGTGTCAAATGTGAGAAGTT